AGAATTTATAAGAAGAGCCTTAAATTGTTCATTGTCAGCTCAAAGCTACAGAAATAAGAAGGAAAGAATTAATTTAGGGCTCTTCTTATAAATTCTATAACTTTGCAAAGAAAGGTCGTGTAGAGCTGGGGTATGTATCATTTTAATCAGGAATTTGCGCGCTACAATCCTGCATTATTAAGAAAGGCTTGGGTTATTTTTTGAGATTTCTGAAAAACTGGTTTTCCTGGTTGGATCTTCGAAGAGCTATGGGCCAGTCCCATGATCATATTCGGAACCAGCATGGTCGATAACCTATAACCCACTAGATATCGATCAAAAAGCTTTTAATCACCTCGAAAGGTTCCCTCGTGAGTATATGTTAAAAGTTAGAAATTCAAATATTTCATATAAGATGTGTAAAATATTTTCTCTCTAAGTAAATTGGTTAGTGATCCGATTAAGATCTATTTAATTGGTCTATGATTTAAATAATTGTCTACCGATTAATTTTTTCTGAATAATGCTTACATTGTGAGATAAATACGCTGGAATGTCAGTTGTTAGTGAACATCCTTCAGGTTTATATTAAAATTTTTATTTAATACAGTTAGACATCTTCCGGGCTTTTTAGCGGAATCTTGCTTTTTAAACTTTCAGTTTTTCTTTTTTAACCATATGTTCAAGAAAACATGCTCGGTTTCATACATTTGGGCTCTCGAATTCAAGTATACCGTTTTTTCAACCATGAGATTAAGCCAATACGCTTAAATTCATTGATTGGTCTAACGTTTTATAAAAAAGAAACTTCCTTTCATCACCCTCACTTTTAATACTGACACTGTGAGATTCGATCAAAGTAGCTCTATGTCTATGATATATTTTCTTCTATAGGACGTTCTAAAAAAAAAATGAAAATTTTTGTTAGTCACACTAATGAAAAAAAGACTAAAGTATTATTACGTTTTTACGTTCAGCTCACAACTAGAAAGAGTTTTCATGTTATTTTCTCTTCAAAATGAGAAAAATTTGCAAAATTTTTGACTTTATCTGGCTATTTATTTTCACAGTATTTATATTCAGTTAAATATTTTTTTAAATTATTTTATGCACAAACGATTACGTATGAAATGACAATTACTTTTATTTTAACAAGTAAGTAAGGAAAATTTATTTTTGATACAAATGTTAAAGACATCGATGTTCATCATTCTTGTTTGTAGTAATGCATGCTTATTTGCGTTGTAACTTTGTAAACGTTTTATTTTTGTTGTACTAACGTATAATTGTTATTGTATTAGTCAAATATTTGTGGTACATTGTCCTAAATAGTATTTTTCATTTTCTTAGAGAACTCTTCTAACTGGAATTGTGAAAAGACCATTTCAGAAAACTTATAATCCGTTGCTCTTATTTAACTAATAAATTGTTTTTCTTTCTTATTTGTTTAGCGTTTGAGTTTTGATTACAGTAGTAGACAACAAATATCAAATCGTCCTCAACACTATTGTGCACCAGAATTTACCATACCATTTCATGATCGAACAGTAATTATTCCTAATCCGTTGACTATCATTGGACATGTGAATGGTAATCCTCGTCCTGCTATTGTCTGGCAGCATCCCTTGGGTCATACATTAATCTCTGATGGCGGTGTTTATATAAACACATTATATACTGATGATGGCACTATACAATTGCAAGTAAGTTGCTCATTTTCATTATACTATTTATTTTTATTGAACTTTTATGTTTAATTAGATTGTACATCCTACAGTGAACGATTCTGGCATTTATGAATGTATCGCGACAAGTCCCTATGGTACAGTATCACGTAAAATTCGTATTATAGTGAAAGGTATATTATTATTTGAGAATAAACTTTTTCAAATAATATAAAAGAGTCTGTTTTTTGTTTTTTTTCTTCTACAGATGCCTCTTCAGCACATGTATCAATTGATCAAGTACGCTGGAGTACACGTTATTCAAATGATTATCGAGAATTAAGTGAACTTGCACGGTTAGTTTTTTTTCTTCTTTTCAAAATAAGATTATTATTTCTACTAATATATTTTCTTTTTCTCTATTTAAGTGGTCGTTTTTCTATTGTCAAACATTGTTTACATTATTTAACTGGACATGATATTTGTGCAAAATTAATATACAAGAAATTTACACCTCCTGATCGTGCCCTTCACGAATACGCTATATTATCATCAATAAAAAATGATTCAATTATAAATGTCTATGCTTTCATGGAAACAGAGACATTTTCAATTATAATTGGAGAATTGTAAGATATCTGATATAACCTTTTTTTTGTTCAATTTTTCAATTTTCTTCTTTGACAGATAAAATTCAGAAATATTATTGTTCATCTATATCTTCTTATTAAATAATTTACATGTTAGAAAGAGAAGATAAATTATTTTTGTTTTTAGAATATTCGGCGGTCGATTGTTAGATCATCTTTGTTCTCAATGTTCATTGAATGAGTCTATTATTGTAAAATACATGAGACAATTATTAGATGTCATTTATTATTTGCATCGTTGTAAAATGGTTCATTTAGATTTAAAAGTATGGTTGTTCGAACATAGCATTAATTTATTTCTGTGATTGTTACATTTATTTCTAGCCTGAAAATTTACTTATTGACATTTATCATCAACAAATTAAATTGGTGGATTTTGGCGATACCATACGTTTAACAAATATGCGCTATGTTCACCGTTTATTTGGTAATGCTGAATTTTCTGCGCCAGAAATTATCGAAGGACATGCTGTGAATTATAAAACAGATATATGGTATGTATATTTTAATATTTGATATACGATTGAAGAAAAATTGATTTTTATGTATGGTATTTTAGGAGTATTGGTGTTCTCGTTTATGTTTTACTCTCTGGTCTATCACCTTTTCTCGATGATACGGACGAACAAACATGCCAAAATATTTTGAATATTGATTATATATTTCCAGAGATGCCATTTTCACAAGCAATACAAGGATCAAAAAAATTTATTCAAATGATACTTGTTAAAGAAGCAAAGTGAGTTCAATACGATTATAACAGCATAACTTGTTTCGTAGTAACTAACTGATTTACTGCAAAGTTTTAAAACAGCAATACACTACTTGTTCAAATTTCTTGAACAACACCTTTTTTCGACATGGATCATACTGTCGAACAGACGCGGTACTGTACTAGGTAGAATAAAGCACGACTTTTTCGACAATTTAAAACTGCTAAAATTTTATTACTTTTTTTTAAATGCATGTTTTTCATGTACTTTGCTCTTCCGCTGGGTTTCACAAAATTTTGCATGCCTATTTTGTAGAGCTGACAATTTTCTTTGTAAAAGGCAGAAAAAAGTCGTATCAAAGTGCTTTTGTAGGCTAAGATTGATCGTCATTATTACTTTTCCTTTTGTTGTTTTGTTGAATTTATTCAACTTTTTAAGTCTCCTTGCCCCTGCCAGACATACAAATTTTTTTAAAATCTATATTAAGCTAAACACATCAACATTTAGTGCAAGGTATCTACCTACTATCAAAATGTATGATGATCTGGGTTTTACTTAAGATTTCTGAAAAAGTGTTTGAAAATTCTGGTAAAGATAATTGTTCTGCGAATTAAACTGCATCCGTAGAAAATCGAAGCCAGAAATATTTTCAAGCATGCAAATTTGCAGCAATCATTTCTAAACAAAGTGAGACGATAAGAAGATCTCACAGATTGATCTCAGATTAAAGCTAATGCATAAATGTACAATGTACAAAGGTGCGATTTTGTACTTAGACCTAATAATCTGCTAAAGAGAAGAATTTGTGAAAAACTTAAATGAGATTTTTCGACTGAGGTGTTAGTTGATTTCACGATTGTATCTGCTGAGGTCCTGTCGTTATGATGTATCGCTACTATACCGTTGTTCGCCCAGATTCTAGAGGAAACTGTCTTCTCTTAAAATCATTAAATATATGAATAGTTTATATTATCAGCTTGTGATATATGCTGAAACTAAGCATAACATAAATTCAATAATCGGGCTCTTGTACATTGTCGATCCATACATTAGCTTCACTTCGAGATCAATCAGAACTCTCCGGCACCTACACAAACTAAGGAAAAAATTTTATCGCCATACTTTGACAGGGTCAACATTTTCTGAAAATTTAGTGCAGATCGGAGCTTTAGTTACCGACATAGAGTCCGAACAAGAAGATCTGGACAGAGATACACTTCAAATTGATAATGCTCTATTAAAACCAAATCAATTGATGTGCTACATAATTTTTAGTAAAGTGAAACCGCCCCGTGATATATCTAAAGTATTGATTTACTTTGATTTAAATATTATTTTTATTTTTATACATTTTTTTGTGGTTTTTAAGTTCTCGTCCATCTGCTAGTGAATGCTTATCAAATGAATGGATTCAAAATCCTGGTAACGTCAGTCTTTCAACGACAAATCTTGTTGATTTTGTTGAACGAAGAAAGTCACAGGTAAAGGAAACTTGCTTTATTCTTTCATGTAAATGCTAATATGTCATTTTTTTCTTCTAAGGTGAAAAGTTCATTGCCGATTTAATGGAGAGAATATAAACGAATTAAACTATGAAGCCGGTGCAAGTATTAAATTTTAATAAATAAATTACGAAAGAGATTATCCCACTCGACAGTGACCTTTTATCTTGCTTTCTTCTTCTTTTTTTTTGCCTCTTATATTTGAAATTAAATTCTGAATCTCATTCTTATTATATTATTATTCAGCTGTCTGATATTATTTAAATTTTTCTTTTGTGTGTTTCATTGCTGTTTTTCTAATTGAACATTTTTTTTGCTAATTGACAATATTTTGCTAGTGCAATCATGGCATCTTATCATCTGTTTTGTTGTTGTTGTTGTTTAACCAACCTTTGGTCTCTTATTCTTGTTGAATATAATACTCAAATCTATTCTTCTTTGTCCAATAAAACAAAAGAACGAGTAAATACTGTTCCCTTTTTTATTCAGACTACACTGGACGCTACAAGTGTAATTAGAACTCAAAGATGAGAGATTTCTCTTGAAATGACTCGAGCAAAATACCTCAGAGTCTTGAATTTTTACGATTTCTCGTTCTCACGGCAATTTTCTCAAATTTTCATTGTAGTAAGTTCCTTACAAACAATAACTACAGTATAATGCGTGAAAATCAGAATGTTACAGTCTTCAATCAATTTATAAGTGTGTGATTAAAGTAGAGTGTAGCTGTTGTGGCAATTGATGCAATTTTCATCTGGCTGAAGTATAATCAGCCTACTTAGTGTTGGTTTTATGCACGGAATTATGGCTCAGAAACTATTTTATATAGTCCATTTCATAAACAAATATATAGTGTTTTTTATCTCATTTAACAGATTTCTCGGTAACAACGCGTCATAAAGGACTAGTGTTTTTAAAGTCAACTAATAAAATACAGTGATGAAGTAACAGAATCCACCTTATCGTTTGGGCTTTTGTCTTAAGGTTTAATATTTTCCAAAAATTGTGAAAGATTTTTCCGATTTTGTAGTAATACTGTTTGCATAATTCAATAAAACAAAAACTGGTTATGTTATTCGCATAGCTTAATACAAAAAATTAGAATCAACGTAAAGTCTACAACTTCTTAAATAGTGGGAAATCTTTTTAAATCAAAATTCCACTCACTATAAAATATTGAAAACATGATCTTCATCTTTTTGAATGAGAAAAAAATTTTCATCATATTTTTCATGATCTCCATTCTCTGAAAGTTAGATTCAGATTCAAATTGAACGAGCTTTTGATAGATGATCTGAATGCTTTAGAAAATAAGAGACAATATAAACGGGTAAAACGAGAACTCGTTCAATTAAGAATTATTTCATTGTTTTCTATGACTGAAGGCAAGAATATATTTTTTTCTTAACTAAGAGACACATTCTAACCTTATGATTTTCTGTTAGAATTTCTATAAGATAGCTTGTTTTTGAGCTATGCCTAAAACTATTAAAAGGAATTGTTGATGAAATTTTTCTGAACAATTATTCCATTATTATAATGGATTACATATGCGTTTTCCTCTTTGGATGATTCCTTTAAGAATTATACAAGTTCAAATGCTTTCAAGAAATAGCAAGACATTTTTTTTTCCGGAGAATATCGACAGAAAAAAGCGCAGTTTTTACAATTCAAATGCAAGATTAAATACAATTATTGAAAATACACTAAAAATTTATATGGATCTAACAGAAGTTGAATATGAATATTATTATTGTGATATTATTATACCTCGTTGTCAACATCATATTGTCTCCTTAAGTTTTTCATCAAATATATTTCTATTTTTATCAAAATATCCACTAGAATAATTTAGGGATTTAAAATCTCTAATATTAATCAATATTTCTAATACAGCTGAAATGGAAAATACTATTTCATAACACAATTATCTTTTTATTTACAACCATTATTAACACTAAAAATCTATTTTGATTCGAATTGATCGAATTAATGATTGCATCGATATATTGAAATTATTGTTTAATTTACAAACAATTAATTATCTATCATTAAATATACCTGAAGATCTTTTAAATATTCTTGTAGAACTACATGATGATGCAAGATTATAATGTTCAAATCTGAAAACATTAGAAATTAGTTTAGGGAATATAAGTTATTTACATAGGTATGTGAAAGTACAAAATTATCTCATTTGTACCTTCTTAACACGGTGATTTAGTCTATTCAAAAGAAACGAATATGGTTGTTCAAATGATATTTGTAAAAATTTATCAAATTTTTTATTCCATTCCAAAAAATCTCCTCATATACTATCGATACGCAAACGAACTCGATACATATGATTAGAATTAACATTTTTTAAATATTATTTTTGTAAACAATAAACTGTAACTGTAACACTTTTCAAAAGAATAAATTGAATAAAAATTAGATTAATCATTCCTACACTATACAATAACATTGATAAAAAATGAGTGCACGTACTGGCATTGCCAAGAGAAAAATAAAAATACGCATCTGAAAAGATTTCGAGAAAGAACCGATGGATGATATATATTAATTATAAGTTATGATACGATTTAGCAGAGTAACAACATTTTTCTGTTTGCCATAACAACTTCACACTATTGGAATAAATTGTTGTTCAAATACATAAAAATAACTGCTCACATTTAACTTGCCGACTATTACAATATCTAGTCCAATCCTAAATCATAGTCGGAAAACGTTTTATTTTTACTGTTGCTATAACGGCGTTAATCGGAATTTTTTATATAGCAAAGAAAATAGTATAATTCTTTTTAAGAGCCCCTCCTCTCCCTAACACAGTGGGGAATTTTGACTAGGCACATGGACATCTGCTAGAAAAGCGGTACGAAAGTTTCTAAATACTGTTTTTATAGGTTTTCGTATACACTCTTTTCAACGACGCAATCGTCAAACTTCCAAAATATGTTTGAACTGGTTTTTCAGGGATTGGATCTCTGGAAAAGCGGTACAAACCTACTTTGAAAGCTTAACGATTGCGTCATTGAAAAGAGTGTATACGAAAACCTATAAAAACAGTGCTTAGAGACTTTCGTACCGTTTTTCTAGCACATAGCAATTTTGACTTGACACGTGGACATGTGCTAGAAAAGCGGTACGAAAGTCTCTAAGCACTGTTTTTATAGGTTTTTGTACACGCTCTTTTCAATGACGCAATCGTCAAGCTTTCAAAGTAGGTTTGTACCGCTTTTCCGACATGTGACGCTTTCTTTGTATTGACATAGCAATTTTGACTTGGCACGTGGATGTGTCAATACGCTGAAACCGTCACATTACACTAAATCGAAACATGTTTTATTCAGAAATACCTCAAACACACACCTTTAGATGCAGTTTTTCGCGCTGATTCTGAATATGTCGCTCCTTTTGAGAAAAACTACTTTGGAACAGAAAAAAACGGAAAAACCTTTAAAAAAACTCGGTTTTTTGGAAAACCTGTAACTTCACCCAGTAACATTTATGCATATTTATGCTAACTATATAGATTCAATGCATTGAGGAGAATATTTTCTGAAAGTTTCATCGAGTTTGGAGTTGAGAAAATTTGGGAAAAAAAAACACTATACTGCCGTATGTTCCTTGAAAAACACTTAGCACAGAAAGAAAATCGATTTTTTCTATTCCAACGCGTCCTATAAAAAAAATTTTTACGAGTGAATAGAGAGAAAGGTCTAGTTTTAAACCGTGTATTTTGTTTCTAGATATCGTGTTGTGTTCTAATAAAAATAAATTTTCTTTCTTCATTACTATGTTTCTCGACAGAAATTTGCGTAGCGATTTTCTCACTTCTGATGGCATTTAGAAAAAATATTCCAAGGGCAAAAAGACAGAGCGGCCACTGAAGTATATAACGTGCTATTTAAATCTTGAAAAGTCTCACTTTCGTTTTTTTCCCAAATGTTCACGTTGTTCCCCGGAGGACCTCGACGTATTTCCCAAAATTTTTTAATATACTTCAAGCTAGAGAGTTTTATTTTAAACTAGACACCTGGCTACATGAACTGACCGGCGCTGATTTTCCAATTAGGTCTTGGCCCGTTTTGTAGACAACCAACAACCTCAGAAAGCCGAAAAACACTTCCTGGTTTTCTGGAAATCCTCAATTTGACAAAAAACTAAGTCCTAATTGAAAAATCGGCACCGGTCGGTCCAAATACTTCAGGTGTAACTCACATGTAGAGAAAGCGGTGTATAGAACGCTATATAAAATGTTCAATTTTAGGGCTTTTAGAAAAATGCCTGTAACTTTTTAATGCAACGTTATACAGAGTTGTGCGACGTCTTATTTTGATCAGAAAAGTTTGCTGCGCGTTCAGAAAAAAATTTAATTGCCAAAGTATCAAGGAAAAAACTATTATTTGAAGATCCGGTTTTTCGGAGCTCCTAGGAAACTTGCTCGAAAGCCGCGAAAACTCACTTCTGTAACCGAAAGCGATATAGATTCTGAAAGTAGACACTTCAGGCTATCCTTTAAGATATTTTAGATGGCTTTTTAAGTGATGACTAGATTTTGGAAAAAAAGTCTAATTATATGTGTAGAAACTAAAAAATCCAAAAAGCTCAATAATTTCTACTTTTCTAATTTTTCTTTCTTTTTTTTAATTTTTCTATCCGTTAGTACAAATGAAAACTTTGATATTTTCTACATTAAATGAAACTACCGTCTGTATTGTGTTTTGATCTCTCAACTTCTAGCTTATCTGTTCCATAATACAATAATGAAGTATCGGACAGGCTGAGATGTTTTCATCAGCTTTTCACATTTCAAGTTTTTTGCTAAAGTTAATTTTGTCCTTTTTTCAGAAAATGACGCTTTTTCATTTACTTTGAGGATCTGATTTTGAAAGTAGTTTAGTAGGATAATTGTTCCATGTATGTTGCACTCAATACTCTATTGACAACAGCCGATCAATGGTTTCGGCTTAATTGTTCCTTATTTTGTCAAAATTATTCATTTGAACGATTCAATCAAAACGCGATAATATTAAACCGTACACTTGATTAAATCGATGTCATTCAGCAACAAAATTTATCAATAATGAAATTGATTATCGTCTTAATTGTCTACCTTCTAATAAGTGTAGTTCACCATTTTCACCTGCTTCGTAATTTTAACAGGATACAACTACATCATTTATATCTGTTGATACTACATGTACGGTAGATTTAGATTAGTAGTTCAACATCATTAAAACATAGTTTTGATACAGTGAAAATTTTCGTGAAATATATAACTTCATTCTTCGATGAATGGTATAATAGAGAGCGAAGGAAAAAAATGAATAAAAATTGTTAACATTTTAATTCGAACAGAAAATATCTTATTCTGATGAGAATTTTTTTCGAAGATTGTTGAGATAAGGGATGAGGCCGCAAAAAAATAGAAAGTATCGAGTCATATTGAAAAAAAGTGAAATATGATGTTTCTGTGTGATATATGTTAAAAAGATTACAGCTGCACATAGAAAAGTCTAGTGACCTTCTACATATTGGAATAAAAAATATTTTCATGAAAATCAAAAACTACATAACAATGTGACAAAAGGACAAATGATCAGCATCAGATGTTGTCCAATGATTTCACACACCATTCGTTTGTTTAATCCTGATATTCCCATCTTCAGTCTTCTATATCTCTCATATTTCCATCCGGCAGAAATCGCACAGATGGAAATATGAGAGATATAGAAGACTGAATAAATGAAAATTAATCGAAAGAAATTTAGTTAAAATAAATACTGTTGCGCAAAATATGTATTAAATGAAAGGAAATAAAACATTAGAGTCAGATTGTTTTAATTTGGTTGTTTATCTGGATACAACTTCTTTTCTGAGCATATATAGTGCTGAAGTAAAATGAACCAAATGAATTGTAATGAATTTATTTTTATTTATTTTATATCGCTTAAAACGAGCAACATCAATTCAATTGTCAGTTGCAATATTTGAAAGTTCGTCAGTGGACGTTTCGTTTAGGAACGTACGTTGCAGGCAATGATTTGCTCTTCTATAGTATGAAACAATTGACGATCAATGGTTATAAGAAGACATTACATTATGCTTTAATAGAAGATTCGTCGACATACGGTAGATTTTAATTATTTTTAATTGGTACATCTACTGAATGTCTATATGGACGAGATCGGTGACTCAGTTGACTTAGTTTTGTCAACTGAGTCGACGATCTTGTCGACGGACGAACACCTCTTCATCGTTCTTTCTATAAATCTCGCAGCTTCATGTCCCATTTTATTTATTCAGCAGTTTGGGCCTTTAAATAAAGATTTTTTATGTGTACCTCATAATAAGCGATGGATCAAAATAAAAAAATAGAATAGATTAATGACAAAATGTTTATTGATAAGACAAAAAATAATATGAATTTAGGCAATCTGATGTTTTACGCATTTTTCTTGTTGCGTTTACATTTTTTTGCTGATTTGAAGAAAACATTCACTGCATCGATCATCAATGCTGATGAGATTATTGAAACTTTGCTGACTGATTATCTTCCGTTGAATAGAATGTACGCGATGAATTCATAGTCATTTGGTAATTAGGTAACTATTTCTATGCACATTTTTAATTTATTTTCTACTGTCGGCTTTCGTTGACATTCGAAGCGTGCAGTATTGAAGAAAATATGATATAATTTAAGTAGGAATTTGTGATAGCGGGATCTTTTGGGGGGTGAGCCTTTATAGTCGACTTGTATGTGAGCTATTCTTCTAAAATTTAAATTCATCTTGTTAGGAACAGTTAGTTAACGTCGTTTCATCAATATAAAAACAACCATCTTTTGAAACTTTACAATACGTATTTGAAAATCACATGTAGATAGATTAAAACAGCCAAATAAAAGGTTTGGTTAATTGACTTGAGAAAGGCATAAGAGTGGCTACCATACCACTTTTCTATCATATGTTAGTTTGTGATTGATTTCGATTAGAAAGTGCATTCAAATTTGCAACGATAACAATAGATTCATAAAACATTCAAATAATGTAAAGAAATTGTCATTTCAGAAAGTCAATATCATCTCTAACAATTTATTAACAAATGCTTCAGCATCATCGTCTTGGCGAATTTACATATTTAATATTTACTAAGATATCAATTGTTTTTCTCAAACCGGCACTCTTTCAATAAACTAGCTATTTCACAATTCAATTTTCCAATTAATTGTTGTATCACAACTAATCTCAACCAAATAGACAAAAAAAAAAAGAATTACACATAAAATGTGGGTGTATGTATACACCAGAAAAAAAAGAAGAAGAATCGTCAATTCTGGTCCAAACAAAAGATTTTGATTGTACTGGGGCGAGTGTTCAGTTTTTATTTTATTTTTCTGTTCATTTTTATTAAGCAACAAAAGAGCTATGATTTATTTATTTGTACGTTCATTGAATATCTTTATACATATACATCTATATATACAATTAGATTAAACATCGATCTCATCGAATAAATTAGATACAAAAACAACAACAATAAAGAATAAAAATTTAATTTGTCTCAAACAATTAAACAATCGTTTAATAAACTGGATTTAACCGATACCAACTGGCTATTTGTTTTGCAGATTGATGACACATATCATTCCAATGTTTTTCGTTTACTAGTTTCTTTTCATCATACTGTCGCTGTCCACCACCAATATCACATTTTCCAATTGGCTCATGTTTCATGTGCCGATCAAAATCAAATACAATTAATTCAAAACGGATATTTTTAATATCATTTGATGGTATAGAAAATGTAAAACATTCATTAAACACTGGATTATATGTACTGCGTTTTATAATACTTCGTTTTTTTACAATACGTTGATCTTTATATAGCATGTATATTTTAAAATAAGGATCTAGATTGAATATAAAAAGTAAGCTAATTAAAAATTATTTAAAATCAAATTTTACATACTTATTAATCGAGATGTACCAATCTTTGGTAAATTTGTTGCTTTCAAAACAATGACTGTTATTGTACTATCCGATGACTGATAAGATAATGATACCAGGATTTCACCTAATTCTTGTTCAGATAACTAAAAGAAGAAGAAGAAAGATAGAAAGAGATTATTCAACGCTAGATAGTGAACAACTAAAACATACTTGTTTATATCTTGGCATAATATCTTTTCTAAATATTATTTCATTATTCATTATCTCGGAATTCAATATATTAGTGTCTAATGGAAACAATACTTCACCAAGAACTTCATCTCTTGTAAATCTATCATAACTTGATACCGTAAATAACAAACTTTGTTCATCTCCTTTGACATTATTGAATTGAAGCATTTCATCATAAATTGGTTGTGCCGACTTTTTAATGATACGTGTTTTTAATTTTTGAATTCTTTCTGGTAATAATTCGACACGTACATAAGAATCAAGCATTAATATTGTTGATGACTTGATTTTTCTGCATGATGATGTTATATCTTGTGCGCTTATTATTCGTACGTATACTATAGAAGTCGATGGATCATAACGTAAACTGAACGTGAGAGATGGTGGTGATATTGTTGGTGTTATGCCATTGCATGATGAAGATGAAGATGAAAGGGATAAGGTTGTTGGTGACGTACTAATACCATTATTTTTACGATCGTACATTCCTTGATCAGCCGATTCGGGCCATGAAAAACTATTTTTAATGAGAGAAAATTGAGATGATACCTTTTGATGATCTTGGCAATGGTCTGACTGCTTTGTATGTGGAGGTGGTGTTAAACTGTCAAAAGATGATGATCCAAGTTGTTTACGCCAATAACGCGTTACACTATATGATAGTTCTTCACCTTCTTTTCGACGACGTCTGTAATACTGCCAATAGCGTGCGAATAAAACAATCATCAAAAGTCCAGCGACTGATGCCATAATTCCAACAGCGATTAGTCTAGGAGTGCGACCTACAGAAAAAGTGTAAACAGTTTGCTTCAAATCAATTGGAATAGTCCTAAATATGTTATCAAGTTTTTAGAACCACTCAAGCTCAATAGTAAATTTCAATCAATCTTCAAATTAGCATACAGCAACGAAATCAAAAGAATACTGGAAAGCAGAATGTTATCAGTTCCGTGTACGTGATAGGAGAATTATCAATTCTTGCAAATCATCAACAAAAAAAAGTATTCATCCATTATTTATGTCTATTGAAGATACATTCTGATCCCCTGACACAATATCAAATTTCCTCGATATAGAAAAATAATTAGTGGATGTTTCATGTGTTTCTTCTTCTTTGTCTACTTTTATTAACAAATCCTAAGCCGTAAAAGTGAAATAAAACAGATTCTTATACGATATATTCTATTTATGGTGCTTCTTTACACGTAAACAAAAAATGATGTCCTACTGTTTCAAAATTTTGTGTGGGCAAGAATATGAAACTTTTAATTAAAATAGTTCGTGTAAAACTTCAAGAACATAAAGTTACTCAAATAACATTAAGATAGATGTCCCATTGTTTTCATGAAATATTTAGCGAAAATGAAAGAATTGATAATGATAGTCCAAAATAAATTTGAGACAATGTAGAGTCAGTCTATTGAACTAATTAATTAGTATTCATATATTTCTCATAAAACATCTGGCTAGTGGATGTTTAATACTATACTGCTACTATAATAAAAGTAAATTATTCAAAATACTTACAGACAAGGTTAATGTCGTGCTTTCTGTGTCACTGTATTATAGGAAAAATTTAAAGCAAGAAAACGTGTAGGCTTTGATGTAAAGGAAGTCAAGTATCTTTATCATATTTCCTCTTTGTTCAGAATTTTGGAAAAATGAGTATATTTTTACTTCTTCAAGAAAATAAAATGATGACAAAATATCAGACAGTTTCTTCTTAAATTCTATAGACCATTTTGAAAAAAACCGTTTTTGTCGGATTAACATTTCATTTGACCAAAACTTACTTGGATCAGTTTTTGTCTTGAACGCATTACCATCATTATTTCCACTTTCACGTTTCATAAATCGATCATCAAAAATCATATTTGACCCTTTGTTGAATCGATCCATGTTTTCAATTTCGAAATAGCTACAGATAGCTATACGTTCAATAATAAAAAGGGTCGTTAGAGGTTAAAATGGTGAACCCTCTGATGTATATAACACCAGTAATAATAGTAAATTTTCTAATAGATGGTTTTTTGTTTTCATTTTTTTTCTGTTCAAAATGACAGGCTTTTTCTTTGCGTCTTCTCCGTTATTTTTCTGGTAGATGTTTTTCTTTTTCCTTGTACCATATTCTACTTTTCCTTCTTTCTCTGTTGAATAATAATTCTGTTCACGTCTATATGTGATGCATCGTTGAAAAATTAGTGAATTTCCATTGCCATGCAAAACAACAATTATCATCCCTCCTCCTCTTGTTTTTTTCTCGTTTTTTCACATCGATATATATTCTAAAAAACGTTTGTCTTCACAACTTTTCTTCGTCTGCTTTTTTATTTATTAGAAATCATTTCCCTAATGTTGTGTGAATAGTCAGTTTCTCTCCGTTTCTTTTGTTCTGTTATTGTTTCCAGATGATGATCAGTAGCACCGATGCCTTCAAAGAAAATGTTAAATAAAAAAGAAAAAAGAAACTCTTATGCTATGGTTCTATTTGATTCAAGATACTTTTGTTACTTTTTGACATCTACTTGACACAATTTATAGACAAGAATTAATTTGAGTAACTATATGATATAGTGCATGAGTTGTAGAATCTTTTATAAAGTCAGAACACAACAGTTCCTGAGTTTTGAGAATAATAATAGTACAAATAATAAAATATAGAAAACTATGCGAAGAACATGTGATTCTCACTGTCGACACAAACTATAACTAAAGAGAGTTAATATTGATAAATACTACAGATGTTTACTTTAATCCAATAAATAACTGAAAGCTAGAGCCCTAAGCCGTTCAGATGTTCTCTTACAAAATTTGTATAGATAAAGATAAGTAAAAGCACACAAAAAATTAGATTAAAGACTAACCGTATGGTTCTATTGTATTCCGCAATAAATGATGTAAAAAGTTACGTAATCGAACATATTTTTTGATTAAATTTGAGACGGCTAGAAAATACGCTATTACAATTATTATCGAATCAAATAAAAACTAAATAATTGGAATAATACAGAATGAATTACAGAGTGAACGAAAAATGAATTATGAATTCAAATACATTGGTATGATCCAATGCCGTACGAATAAAATCCCTATTCATCTGGAAAATTATCTTCAACTAACATAATAAACAAGTTTAGCTTCAGTAATATTATAACTTAAAAAAGAACTTTTATCAAGAGTTATGTTTAGTTTTATTGTTTGATATCATTACTTTTCAGTTGAATGCTTGTATCACCCTTTAAAAAGGTGTGTCACCAGGTCGTATATATTATCATATGTTCAAGTTTATTTTCGTCAAGATCAAAAAAAAACCAAAAATGACTGTTTATGTGTAGCAAAAAACCAACACATAGAAAATAAGAAAAAGAGTCTTCTTGTTTTTAAATATTGATGCCATACATATTACAAGACGAAACGTGTCATGTAAAAACGAAAAAAGAAACGGACTATACAATCTCAAGAAAAAAAAGTATCGTTTTGAAGAAAAGAAGAAATTTGTGTTCAGAAGCTGGCATTAATCCAGCAATAATAAACAAACAAAAAAAAAATGTTACTTTTTCACTGTATTATTCACATTTTGCAAATATACAACACACACGACTAGTTAACACGGAGAGTTGCAGCAATCGCGAAAAATGTGGCTATTAACTAGCGTATATATATGATATATCACAAAAAAGAGAAATAACAGGAACTACATAAATAACAAAACATAATTCATTTACATACAATTTTCTACTCTATTACAAAAACGATAAGAATTCACATGAGATAACAACAAAAAAAAAGGAAAAAACAACAACAAAATATTCGAATCGAACAAACAGTCATCTAAAAATGACTCTTCCTCTCGTGTTATTTATATTCTTATGTACACAAATAAGTTAGTAGGGTCACCAGTCTTTCTCACTCTTCATTAGCTCAACTTGCATAGAATAGAGACAAAAAAGCATTTCATAGCCATGAGAAAATCAGAGATATTTTTTTCATCAGATAACGGAGAAATATATATAGTAAAAAGAATAAAATTGGAAGAAAAATTCATTTGTACAGTTGTAAAAAAAACATCATTTTTACTATAGTCAATTGAAAACAAAACTAATGTCTTTTATTACTGTCAAAATTGACTTTAGACTGGAGAGCATATGAAAAAATTTGATAAATTTGTTTTATCTTTCCATGTGAATGGAAAAGAAACGTTGGTATTTTTAACAAGCACATTCAAAACGGATTAAATTTCCAGTAGAAATAAAAACTGCAAGTGTCTAACATTCCTGAGGACGAGTTTATACGAAGAGAAATGAGTTAACTTGTGACACTTAGAAATGACACTCATAGAATAAAAAATAATTTTAAATCGATCTTTTAAAAGGTCGATTTAAAAAAACTTAATATTAAAATATAAATAAACACAAAAAGGAATGTGACGAGAGCAAAAAAATTCGATACATATTGTTCATTCAAACACAAAAACAACGGAACGACCACAAAATACACATATATTATACAAGCAAGAGAACAAGAAGAAACTGAATTAACAATAACAACAACAAGAAAAAAAAACCCAGTATACATCGAAACAAATAAACAAAGCACAAATGTAAACAAGAAAAAAAATTGTTCAAACACAAACAGAAATTTCATATTTGGATTGAAATAAAAAAGAAAATGCAAAAACAAATTATATATACATATAGTTTGGAAAAAAAAACAAAGACTGAAAAAACTGTAAGAACTTGCTTGTAATTAATACCAAACGGATCGAGTTTTACTTCGTTGACTGTGTTGAAGTGCATACACGTCCGTTTTATAAACAACGTAATATTTCGTGACGATTGAAACGAAAATTTGTCCAACAACGCGGACCAAAAAATTGCTTTTGTTGATGTGAATGATTATTTTGAGGATAATAACGACGGGAATATGTACTTTGTTTTTGTTGATTATCGTTACTATTGTTCGTTAAATTTGAAAATGGTATGGTAACATTTGTTCGAGTATTGGGATATTTTGATGAAGACGATCGATCAAGTTGCTGACTATTATTTGTTATTTGTAATCGACGATCAGTGCGACCTAAAAAAGGAACATAGTTCTACTCTTTTCCAGACGAATGAGAAGGTCGGGAATCGACTTTTCAAGCCATTTTCTTCCCTTATGTCCAAAAGCTAATTTTTTTCTTGTAACTTACGTCGATTTTGTAGATCATAATCCGTCTGTTTTATCTGATCATCTTGTTGATTTTCAACATTGTTCTGTTGTTCTGAAGGATTATGTCGTGAAAACTAGAACAGGGAAGAGAGAATTAATAATGTTCTAACTGTAAATCATAAACCGCTAACCTTTTTTGACGATAAATTTCGTGTAGGTTCATTAGGTTGATTCTTTTTTAATATTGTATATTGCACTTGCGGTTGATTAGATTTTTGATGGTGATGATGAGACATCTTTTTATGTTTTCCTCCCAAATTGTTGTGATCCTCATTACGATTAAAACTATTTATTATAGACGATGATTTTGTTGGTGACGAATTTCCTTCTTCATTTGATGTTGGCGTACCAGATACTCGTTTCTCACCGTTTTTATTTTGTACAATATTGTTCGTAGCTGAAAAACAAATAGATCGAAAATTTTGGGATGTTTTTGTAGGCAAGCTGCTAGCAATTTTGAAAAAATTTATGCGAAAACAGTATGTAGTCAGTCTTTGTATTATTGCCTAATCATAGATCATACACGGAGAGATGCATAGGATAATGCACTTAAAGTTTTATTTACTTTTCTGAATTGTACTTGTCGATGTTGCTAATAAAATTGTTGTTTTTATTTCACGCGTTGTTGTTGTTGCCGGTGTACTCATACTATGATTTAATTTCACAGTTTTATTAGTATTATTCATATCTGACAATAATGCTTCATTAATTGTTTGAGCGATATTCGTGTTATCGGTAACAGTTAACGAATCATTTTTTAATATTTTACAAAAATGTTGTTGGATGGTATCTTGTATTGTCGGCTGTTTTATTGGACTTTGATCGATTATTACCTGATTTTCGTTTGTTTTTGTTCGACTTTTTCTCATATTTTGTGTTATTTGATATTGATGGCCAGTTAAATCAGCTATTATTTTAGTTGAGTTTCGTCTCTGATAATAATTGTTTTGAAAATCGGATAACGGATAAGACTTATTATGCCCTAAAATCACAGTATGTCACAATACAACCATCTTAATGTAGTATACAACATACTTGTATGTTCTGTTTCAAATAGTTGCTGTAAACTAATTGGTTTTACTCCGCTATCATACTTTCTTCTTTGGTTAGTAGCTAATTGTGACGTGGACATGTTACAATTTTGTTGTGTTGGCCGATTCTGACTCTGGTGATGATGGAGACTATGGGTATATTCGTTCGCATTATCTGAATCACTTGTGTGGAGACCATTTGATGACGAATGAAGACCTTGCTCTTGAGCGATCCATCGTCGTAAATCTCTACAGAAAATATTGAGACGATTAGAATATTATATTTATAATCAAACACGTTTACTTTATAAATGGAATAACCATAAAAAATGCTTTTGGGCTTAAATCTAAATTTGTCTTTGGTGTCATGTCTCGCTTGTGACAGGGCAAATCTGCTAGACGAAACCATCTCACATCCTATTCAACAGAAAAAACACATGACAATATCAACAAACAGGAAGCATTTCTCGGTCGTTTTTTACTTTAATTTCATTCTTTGTTTTTGCACAAAATCTTGTGTCTAATGGAACATTGGCTATAATATACAATCGAATCAACTGCCCATTCAATAATCGTTCAATATAGGTATTATCAGACGCACGATCTTTGATATCAAAACCGACTTCTTCCATCACCTTAAAGCACGCAAACGTCACCGTCAATTACTTTTATTAATCAATTAATGATATACTTACTTCTCTAATAGCGCAATGTAATGGGATCTCATTTTCTTGAACTTTTCCTTTTGGAAATCCCCATGATTCGCGATTGTAAAATCCTTGGACGAGTAACACCTAAAACACATGAAAAGTTGACACTCATAGAAAGCATTATTATGTTGAGTAGTTTACAAAAGTATTATTGACTTAGATATAAGGCTCAACTAAAATATAAATCTCAATGGTCATATCTCATGGTTTAGATTAACAAAAAAGATATTTACATGTTCATAAGTTGGATCAAGTAGGATGCCGCCATATGTTGGTACAGATGATTTGAAACCGCGCCACTTTGATAAGATTGCTTCGAATTCATATACATGATCACGTAAAAACGGACAGTGTAAAAAAACTAAACAGAAAAATGTTTGAAACTATTGGTAATTAAAGAACAATGAAAACATCGTTCTAACAAGCCTCCATCAAGCGAGAGTAACAGAGGTTGTGAGCAACATAAAGTGTAAATCTTTACATACTTTGTTCGGCAAAATCCCTTAATGAGCATGCTCTTAAATCATTAAAATCTTCACAATAAAAATCAAGATAGAACCAATGCGCTAATTCAATTGCAAACAATACTCGCACATGATCATTTCTTTGTTCTGGTGGAATGTTGATGACAAAACGACTAAAAGACGTAGAAATAACACATTAGTCGTCTGAAGTAAGAATAATCATATTTTGGCTAAACAACCGAACACACCTGCAGAGGTCATCTAGGACCTTCGGTGGTATAGGACTCATCTACCAACTATTGTTTTTGAATCTAAAAATAACATATTTATAACCATATATAAGTCCAAAAGAACAAATAAACAAAGGATTTAAATCAATTCTCGTTAAAAGCAACGAGAAAGAAAAAAACGAAAAAATATACGCCAGTTCAAAATGGCTGCCACAAATTGCTTACTTTTCTGGAAAATTTACTGCAGAACTTTTTTGAAGTTCAATTTAAACAAAACTTGAACAGAAACGCTTACGGAAATACTACAAAAATGTTCTGCTATTCCTGTGCGATCAAAAAATACAACCCTAAAAAACGAGGCTTCGTTCTAGTAAACCCACAGAAGAGTGTTTCTGTAGTATACTTTTTATAATTGATCTTTTTGTTATTCACTTCACTAGCAATAGCCTAACAGATTGTAACTTATGCCGAGAGCTTCGAAAAAAACAAAAGCAAAATTATTTGATTATATGTTATAAGAAATAAAAAAAGGAATCACCGTGCTGTGTGAGAAGAGCTGATTAGCCATATTGAACTGGTGGATGTATTGCCCTTATTCCCTTGACTTTATAGTAATGTAGGATATTAATAAAATACTTTTGCGTTCTGTTCTGTCTGTTTGAACGCAAAACATGGAACATGTTAAATTGTGGAATAATATTTTATGGGCTGAGCAATCACATAAATACCGTATCACTGCACAACATGCACAAGATAAAGAAATAATACTGAAAGTAGAAAAACAAAAACAAATACCAAACAGAGAAAAAAAGGAGGGTAAGAAACACTATTTCTGAGATGTCAGATAGATGTCGCGCGAAATCGGAGATCTGTATTGAATGCCGGTTCAGTTCAGTTTTATTTTTTTTATAATAATAATAATAATAATAATAACAATTAGTTTTTTAAGGTATTTAACCAACAGTAGGTGTTAGGTCATCAAAGGTTAGATCTGTAAAAGGATGGTCCCCACTAAGATCTAGGTATACATAAAAAAGTGTAACAAAAAATAAAATAAAGTAAAGACGAAACTGGGGAGAATACTAAATGAACAAAAGAAAAGGTAAGCAACAACTACAAATGTAAATAAAGTAAACAGTGTTAATAACAAACGAGTAAAAAGAAAGAGAAAATGAAAGATGACAATCAACTGTTGAAAATATACTTAAATAATGTTGTTTTAAATGGCAAAACTGGAGAAGAACTCATGTCATCAAAACCGGTTAAATACCGCTCGGTTACCGCTCCGGTACCAGTCTGTTATATTCCCCGGTATAGCACCGGTGGAATTGAAATTACCACACGGTCTGCCGGACCGCGCGGTACACTCGTCGGTTGTACGGGCGGTATCGACTGGTATTTCATCAATATGAGCAAACAGTACAGAAGTTCGAATCTAGTTTTCAGCTTTCTTTTTTTGTGTTTTTTGCAGTGCGCATGCAGCGCAATGAGGTACCCGAACAGGAAGAACTTGACTCAAGTCGAAGTGAAAACTTCGACGAGTCTCTATAATCTGAAAGAGAAAGTTTAATCTGAAAAAAATCAAAGCTTTTTGACTTTTCTGCGTTTCCTATATAGGCTGCCGGCGACATGGGAAGAAATAACGGACTGTGGAAGATTATTTCAGCCAGTTACTGTGGAGCAAAAAAAGACGATTTTATAGTTTCAGAGGAAAAATTTTGCATAAGAGGTGGAATGCGAACATATTTTTGGTGTGTTGCCAGAAAGAAGGGCGAAGTTAGGTGTAGGGATGAGCGGTAACGATAAAAAATTTTTTTACCGAAGTTTACCGCAGTAAAATTTTGAGATTTTTTACCGGCTTGAAATTATCTCGATAAACATCTGATATTGCTACCGAAGCGTTGATAACGGTAACACGTTTTTATCGTTACCGCTCATCTCTAGTTAGATGGTTGTATTTTATAAAAAATATGTAGAGGACTTAGATGATGAGCGATTTTATATAAATGCACAAGCGAAAATATTTCCAACGCTTAGAGAGATTTGATAGAGAAAGTTGAAGGGTTAGATCAGAACCATGAACACAATAATTAAAATTCTGAACAATAACTCGAGCAGCAAAAATTATAGTTCTTTTTCTCTTTCTATTCTTGATTCTGTGAATCATTTTGCTACTTGTTTTATTGTTCAAAATTTTAATTATTGTGTTCGGGGTACTGATTTAGCTCTTCAACTTTCTCTATCAAATCTCTCTAAGCGTCAGAAATATTTTCGTCTTGTGCATTTATACAAAATCGCTCATCTCTATATATTTTTTATGACATAACCACCTAACTTCTCGCATTCTACCTCTTATGCAAATTTTTTCCTCTGAAAAAACTATAAAATCTTCTTTTTTTGCTTCACAGTGACTGATTGGAATTTTTTAACCTTGATCGTTTCTGTATATTTTTTTTTGAAAAATAACCTTATCGCCACATATCCTTTGTCTTATTTACTATCATCTTTCAAAGTTCAGTTCTTTATATAATTTGATGGTGAATTTATATTTAGTTTTCTGTTTCCAAATAATTCGGTGTTTTTCAATGATTTTCGTTATGGACACAATCACGTTTGCTGTTTTTTTCGTTATCCAGACAGTCTAGCATACTGTTGCATAAATACATTAATATATTTTACATGTCTCTTCATATTGAATTAACAATGCTTTTTTTACAATGAATAGTTTTTATATCTTTCTGATCAGTGATTTTGTTTAGAAAAATGAATATATTCATTCAGTCAAATGTACAGTCATTACAATAGGATTGATTATAATCAATCCTGTAACAATTGTAAATTTAACTGTATTTGTAGTTACTCTTTCGGGTTTCTTTGGAATGAACGGCAAACACTTATAAAGAGTGACCGATAAGCAACTCAAACACATTATTCCACCATCCACAATTGTTACCTTGCTACTTTTTTATCTTACTCAATTTGAATAGAAACTACAGGCATGATATCTTAAGTCGGATCGTAAAAAAACTCGCCTAATTCAGAGCTCGATATGGCAGCCGCTATGGACATTAAGGTGATGAAGAAGAAATGAAGGATGCTGTTAAAACGTGTTGAGCAGGAAGAGGTCAACGATTAATACGTTTAAATCCGTTTTGAGCCAAATTTTCGAAATGTAAACTATGTAAAACGGTTTAAAACTTAGAATGCTACCGACAAGCACGCTCTAACGCTTGAAAAGGGTGTAAACGCCAGACAAACGCGTTTAAACGTCACTTTTACCGTTTATTTGTCTGTCTGGGAAGTGCTGCTGCCGGTGCGACGGCAGCCCAAGATGAAGTATAAAAACTCGCTCGTTGTTAGGCTTAAACGCTACACAAATCTATAATGAATTGACTATGCTGCTTATGAACAGGATTATGTATCATATCGTACAGTTCTTACAGTTTAGAACCGCGACTGAGGAACGCAAAAGTATATTCCTACATGAATGAGAAAGACTTACGAGAAAGGTCCACCAACTGTCCAATCGTTTTTGAGACAAAACCTAGTGGGTGATAGGTAACCGACCGTGCTGATTCCGAATATCGGTATGAGACAGGCAGTTAGGCCTCCACAGACCCGTTTTCCGAGAAAACCAGTTTTTCAAAAACTCTAAAAAATAACAAAAATCTTTCTTAATACGGCCTGATTGTAGCCCGCACATTTCTGATTAAAATGGGCCATCTCCTAGCTCTACACAACCCTTCTTCACAAACTTATAGAATTTATAATAAAAGTCCTAAATGTTCATTGTCAGCTCAAAGCTACAGAAATAAGGAAAAGATTAATTTTTGTAAACTGTATAACTTTGCAAAGAAAAGCCATGTAGAGCTGGGCGATGTCTCATTTTAATCAGAAATTTTCGGGCTACAATCATGCCTCATCACAGTGGGCAATTTTGCCTAGGCATGTGGACATTGGATTTTAAAGCGCTGGAAAGATCTCTCAGATATGTTTTTGTAGGTTTTCGAGTGTGCTCTTTCTAATGGAGTCACTGACAAAGTTCAAAA